GTGTGTGTGTGTGTGTGTGTGTGTGTGTGTGTGTGTGTGTGTGTGTGTGCATGATGACTACAGAAACCAGCATGCTATAGAGTTGCTGGGAAGGTGAATCAGAAACTGGAAAGTACTGGATTCTGTTCAGAGAAAGAGCCCAGGGCATCCCAGCCATTACTGATCTGCACTGGAATGTGTGACACACTACTTTCAGAATTCCAGGATGCTCTGTTCTGTTATCTATCAGCAAGGAACTCATTTCCAACTCTCAATCACCCAGTCAATGGAAGATACCAAGGCACAGTGAGATATGCTGTTGCTGGCAATAAGCAAGTCTTAGAGACTTACCATTGAAGATCTTGAGGTTTCAAGAAAGATTAACAAACAACCTAGGTACTGACCAGACTACAGTGAAAGAAGAAAATAATGAAGGCAGTCCAGAGCAAAATATCAGGACTTGCTTACAGGTTGAGTATAATAAACAAGATTTTGAAAATGCCCAGATCTTGAGCAGGTAGGGGCAGTGTGAAGAGAGCATTGTAGACAAAGAAGCACCACGAGGAGGATTATGGAAGCCAGGATGTGGAAGCAGGGAAGGGCAATGCACAGAACCTGCATGGCCAGTAGAAGCCTGGGCTCAGCACATGAGCCATTTGGAGAAAGTTGGCTGTAGATATCGGAGGTTCTAGAGTAAGCTAGTGTGGAACCGCAAAAGCCAGTCTGGTGTGTGATTTCAGACATGGGTTGGAGGGCATCCCTCACCCCAAGGTACAATATTACCTTCGGAGAAGCACCGTCCAAAACAAGCCTTCACACTCATAGCAGAGGTGACGCCATTGAAGGGCCTGACCCTGGGTTTGCTGAAGAAGTATTTTGGAATGCAAACATTTTCCTGCTGCATGCTGAAGGCAACTGGTCACAGTTGATGATCAGTAAGATAACAACATCCAAAGCCACCAAGGCTGCAAAATGAATAAAAGGATAGCCCAATCACGGCATAATGCGTTAGGGACTATCCCCACAAAGGAGACTGCTCCACCCTGAGATTTATGGCTGGTGTCACTCCCAGAATAAGCTGAGGCTGACAGGAGCTACAAAGAGATCTTTCTGTCACCTTTAGAGTTTGGAAAATCCCAGAATTATATGACATACCAAAATAGGGCGGTGCCATGGGAAGAGGCACACAGGGACTAGGGGCAGAGAAAGTGAAAGGCCTGAGGTTTCCCAAGATCCCAGACAGGAAGATTGGAAATCTGAGTGTCATGAATGGAAGATGAGATGATGTTTCTATGAAACGTCATGTTCCCTTCCCTCCCTAAAGCCAAAAGTACACCCAGTGAAAGAGGAGAAAGAAAAAAGGAGACACTAAATTTTACCTGAATTTAAACCAAAAATTAATGAGAAGTCTCTGTGTTTGTCACTGGAATGAAAACTGGAGTTGGAGGTAGAAGTTCATCCACAGAAAAACAAAGGTAGCCTTTCCTGCAGTTGTTGGCTTTGGAAATCCTTTCCCATTCCAGGTTTATAGAGGTTTATAGAGACTGATTAGACAACAGAGTTTGAGGTGGAGGGCAAAGGGAGACAGGTGGGAGTCAGGCCCCCAGGAAGAATGAAATGGCAAGAATGGGTGGCTCTCTGTGTTATATGTGGGGACCAAGTGCTCCCTGATGTGGAGGGAAGAATTGACATACAAGAAGGGAGAATCATCAGAAAAGTCACCGTGCGCAGGTTACTGTGCCTCAGGAGATGCCTGGGTCCTACCATCCTGCCAACACTAACTTGCATTTGCAATATTCTTTGGAACATGAAAGTGAGCACTGTAGTAAGAGCCAAGGGCTGGAGAAGAGCTGTCTGGAAGATGCTATGCACATTTCCATGAAAACCAACATCGGCTGTCTACCCAGCCATAGCAACCAGGGCCAGCTTCATACAGTGACCCCTCTTCTGCCATGGCCGAAATCCAGACACAAATTATTCAGATATTCTCAAGCCTCCTTGGCCAAGCAAAATCCCCACCTGACTTATATAGGCCATGCTGAAAGCACTGGCCCAAGACGAGGGGCCGGGGTGCCTCCGCTCTTTTTCTCTCTGGCAAATTAGCCATTGCACTTACTACAGTCTCCAACTCACTGCTCAAAAGAGTCAGACATTTGGGAACAGCGTGACCCAAAAGATTTCTTCCTTGACGTCTTTAAATGGCCACCAGGAGTCAAGCTTTGGGAGCTTTTCCCTTGTTTCTCAAATAGCAGGGGTTTTAATTTGCTTTCCCCAGAATCTCCTGGGTCATCTTTCTTTTTTATAACTTGCACCTGTTGACTTTCATGCTCACCTAAAGGAATGAGAAGACTATGGAACAAGCAGAGATGGAGGTGAAGGGAAGTAGGAGGGGGGTCTTTTTTTTTCCGGAGACCTCTGAAACTGACAGTAACTGCCGGCACTCTGGTTTCAATTAAAATGTACCAGACAACACGCTGGAGCCTAATGTAATCCTTTTCTGCTTTGTTATCCTATTAAAATGCACAAAATTTCAAAGAAAGGGAGCTGATGCTCACTCTACTTTTAATCCAGCATTACAGCTCGAACACCAAGGCCAAGAAGAATCCTAACATTGAGGTAATGCCTTCTATCTTGAGCCTTCTTAGCCGTCCTTATTCAGATCTTGTAAATGAAACATTCCCCCTTCCCTTCATAGCCTCTTTTCTCTGGCCCCACCTAGAGCTTGGTGACCAGCTCCCTTCCTGCAAACACTGAGAAATAACATGGCAGATCCTGCAGAAGACTGGAGACAACAAAAACAGCCAGGCTCCAAGCCAAGCTGTTTTCATTTTGCTCAGTTTTCTCTTTTCAAAGAAAACATGTATTTTATTTGTTTATTTTCTCACTCAGCTCCTATAAAAGGACATCTTGCTAGCCACTCACAGATACCAGCATCCCCATGCAAGGGGATTGGGTTACCGAAGGCTTCATAGAACAATTGCTAGACAAAAGGTAGTGGGTGAACTCCAAAGAAATTAAAAACCTTTATCTTGAAAAACAGCAGCTCATAATCAGGGCTTCAAAGGAAGACAAATACTCCATCAGGCTGTGAAAATCGGGATCCCCTTTTAAGAATGGCAAAGAGGCAGCACGGCTGACTTTCAGAACCCTTGGATAACAGGAAGCTTGCTGTCTGGCACAGTGGGAATGAA